GAGAGAGAGAGAGAGAATGTGGGCTCACAAGCTACAATGAGGAGCTCTGAACTGCAGGTGTTTGAGTCCACTCTAACGCTTTCTTTTTTCTTTTTTACAGTGTTACCGTGCAGGGTTGTTCTCTGTTCATTGTTATTTCCTAAACATTGTTTTGTTTTGTTTTTTTCTTGCTTGTACATAAAAATGAAAAATCCCAAGGTTTATCTTTTTTTAATTACATTAATATAAAAAGGAATAAAAAAAACTTTGCTTGGAAAAAAAAAATGGGAATAAATAAAACAGTTTTGAAAAAAAAATGCACAAACTGTGATCTGTGTTTTATTGTATATATTTGATGATTGATAGTGTAGGTGGTTGGATTATTTTGCCTGTTTATAGACAGACACATTTATCAAATCTTTTTATGTTTTGACTTTTTAACCGTAGACATTTCAGTGGACTTTAACAAGAACAGCTGAGCAGATGATTTTAAATTGATTAAACTGAAATGAAGATCTGTTTGTCCAAAGAAAAAATTATTTGGACATAAGCTGCTTTCTTTTTGCTCATTTTCAGTCACATCCTTGTACTGGACCATTTTCAGTGGAATGTTTATCACTCCACAAAACACTCACCTATGAATGATTCAAGCCAAAAAAGGCCCCTAACTAAAGGGATGAACTAGTGTATCTACTGACTACCTGTCAAAAAACGCATCACTGGTTTTCATTTTTTCAGCCAAATCAGTTTAATAATACCAAATTTAACAGTTTGACATGTTTTTTTTAAACTATACAACTTATACAAAACTACAACTGGGCGTGAATGATATATTTAAATAGGCTGAGTGTAGTGCAACCAGCATGAACCAGTGCAAACTGGATAGTGCAATGTGCATATGACCTGAATGACATAACAGTGGGTTAGTGTTCAACAGAGTGACGGCCCGGGGCAAGAAAGTCTGTGGCGGCTGGTTTTAGTAAAGAGCTCTGTAGCACCTGGCTAAGGGCAGCAGCTTGAACAGTTTGTGTCCGGGATGTGAGTGGTCTGCAGAGATCTGGACATACCCTGCAGTGTACCCCAAAAAGAATCTGAGGAAACTGGACAAGTGAATAAAAATGCCCTAAAACACTCCAACAAAGACCTGACAGATGCATCTGAACCTTCAGCTGATGCATGTACTGTTAACTGAAGCTTCATTAAGTTGTCAAGAGGCCATTATTAGGAAAGGAAATGGGGAAAAGGCTGAGCTATTCCAAATTACACCAGAACTGAACTTAAATTCAGTGACAACAGGATTTATGGAGTGATGAATCCAAATGTAAAATTTGTGGTTCAAATTGTCAAAATGTACAGAAGAACTCAGGAGAGAGGCCCATTGGTCTACAGCACAGGTGTTGAACTCCAGGCCTCAAGGGCCGGTCTCCTGCAGGTTTTAAATGTGTCTTTGATCCAATCCAAGAAACCTTGTCTAAGAGTTCAGGCTGTACTGAAGAATAAAGACAAATATTGACTTTCAAGCTCATTAAAATGATACAAACACTGTTTTTGCCTTATAAACTACTTTTCCGTGACCCAATTTCGTTTTTTAAACGAATAAAAAAACATAGCTCCTTTTTAGAACTTCCTTTTAATTGCTTTTCTGTTATCAATGCTATAAATTTCTACGTCTTATTTTGAAAGCCAAGCTTCCAACTTGTGCTTGCTGAGGTCACGTGATTCTGCACGTACAATCCGGAAGCCGGTGCCATGTTGTGATATTTGAGGAAATCACTTCTGGGTGAAGTTCCCTGGCAAAAGTGGGATTAAAAACAAACAAACAAACACAGTTAAACAGGTTTCGGGGTGAGCATGGAGGTAAGAGTGGCTGGTGTTAACAAAATAAACTGCTGCGCACGCACACAAGATGACAAAATATAGCACGCGCAGTCTGGCTGTCAGACATCATTGGCGGCCTGCTGTACGCGCTGACCTCACTGATCATTGTTCCTCTGTTCACGGACTTCACGTTATCTTCTGCTAACATGTTCAGCCTCGTTTTAACCCAGCTGTCTGTCCGAGCAGGCGGACCTGAGGCAGTCTCAGTGTTAGTGAACTTTAATCGGTTTAAACAACAAAAAATATGCCGCTCGTTTATCCAGGAAGGAGCCACAGGACAGAGCAGTTAAATCAGCTGAAGGTGGCTGTTAAACGCCAACAAACAGTCTTAACATCCCCATCCAGTAAGAACCAGCCTAATGTGGGGTGTTAGTCCATGTCAGACAGGAAACTTTCTGTTAAAGGACTTAATTTAGATAACATATGAGTGTTAACCGGGTTAATTGATGCCGAACAGCAGTAGCAGCTAGCTTCCCTTTAAACCTTTCAAAATAAAGGAGACATTACTGCACCATAATATTAATTCTCTACAATCTAGACATGTTATATCAGGTGTATTAAACATAAGGGCCGGGAACCATAATCAGCCCGACAAAGACTCCAGTCCAGGTCACTGGAATGCTGTGGAGAATATGAAGGAGAGAATAGATTTGAAACTTTCAGTGATATTCTCACAAGTTTTCTAGCTTTTCCTATTGATATTCATGCTACACCAAATAATTACCCAAGAGATAAACAATTAAATGACATAAAAGTTTTTTTTTCAATATCTACTGTAGAAATATTCTGTTTTAGGAAAAAAGAAGTCATTAAAAATACTAGACAGTTTGGGCAATTAGCTACCAGAAGTTGTTCTGTTATTGTGCACATTTATCACATAGAAAAACTATAACATATTCTTGCACTTGCACTTGTTTTTCTTATATTTAGATATGCCAGGGATTAAATGTGAAGTTAAACATCTTGCTGTTCTGGCCCACTTAAGATCAGAATCGGCTTTATGTGGCCCATGATGTCAAATTAGTTTGACATCCTTGTCTTAGATACCATAAGCAAAAAAAGCATACTTTAAAATGAAGGTAAACGTGATGCACGGAGCACTGTATAGTTAGTAGTACTGTAGTACTGTGTAAACGTTTTCAGCCATGCTTCATTTCTTTATAGTTGACCTTTCAAAATAAGATGTAGTTACTGTTTGCCATAGAAATGTTTTTATATATAGGGTTTTCGATTTGTAAGGGGAGGTAAATCAAAAACCTGGAACAAGCCAGTCGAATTCCAGTGCCTGTACTGCATTAGGAAGTCAGGAGTGGTAGAGAAGTATGTGAGGGCGGTGCAGAATGTGTTTGAGGACAGTGAGACATTATTAAGGTGCAAGTCTCTTGATACTCGCAAGGGTGATGGACAGGCTGACAGATGAGGTCAGGCAGGAGGTGGTAGTCTGTCCCAGACAACGTGATCTATGGTGAGAGTAGGGAGCAGGTGGAGGAGCAGGCGGCTGTATGATCTGTTGAGAAGGTGAACGCAAATCCGTAGGTGCGAGGCAGAGTACATGTGTGGGAAAAGTCATTTGCAAAGACTAGAGGTAGTGAAGGGGTGAAGTGCAGGCGTTTTTGTTACCTGGGGGCAAACTTACAAAGCAACAGACAGTGCAAAGAGAGGTAAAGAAGAGAGCAAGTAGGGTGGAGACAAGTGTGACAGGTGATTTGTAACAGAAGAGGTTGAGCAGTTTGGAGACAGGACATGTTGAGGGTGATTGATATATTGGATAAAAGATGTTGCCAGGGAGGAGGAAAAAGAGGAAGACCACAGAGACGATCCATGGATGTTGTAAAAGAGGACATGAAGCTCCAGTAATGGTTTTATTCGTCCACGATTATTTTGAAATCCGCTTCGCCCTACATCCGGCTTTGCACCAGTGTAGCTTGACCGCTGCCTGTTTATCCAACCCACGATCTGTTTCTCGGGATCCATTGAGGGTCCTGGCCCGAGCCAAAGCGAAGCTTAAAAATCGGGGACTCTGTGTGTTTCCCTTGGCTGTCAGACACCTTGACACGACCGCGGTCGGTTTGCCGTTTAAACGGTCACTGAGACGTCGGAGGAGTAACAGGCAGGTAGACAGACAAACGAGCACCGGGCTGTCTGGCGGAGGGGGGCTGAAATGTGAACGCCTCTGCAGGCTTGCGTCAAAGCCAGCTAACGCTAAACCGTGATAGGACAAAGTCAGCGAGAAAGACGGTTAAACGGCCACGTTACCTCGTCAGAGAGCCGGCCAGCTCACGGGCCGGGCTATTTTTGGCACGCGCACACACACATGCTCAGTTTAGCTGGCTGCCAGCCACGGCTGTCACAGTCGGCGGGTTTTTAAAGGAGAACCCGGGCTAACGGCGGAGCTGGTCGGTAACCAGCCTATCCGTCAATCGCACGCTGACAAGGGGCGGAAAAATCAGGGGAAAGGAGATCCGGTTAATAGCCTGACGTCGTATCGCAGCGAAGAAGGGGGGCCTCACAGCTCACACATGAGGCCCAGCTGAAAGGATGGATCTGAATTTTTACTCTGATTTAACGGACGGTACCGGGCAGCATGACGGGGATCCGGAGTTCCTGGATCCGCAGTCTTTCAATGGGTTCGACTCCGACAACAAGGTGACTGAACAGCCGCTCCGTGCATGCCTATTCGAGTACTGGACCCTTGAGTAATGGAGTATTTCCGTTTTAGAGAGAGTTATAGTTTCAGCTTAGGTTAGAAACCTTTAACCTATCTGTGCGACTAAAAATCATCCTTAAAACAAATCGATAAAGACGCATGTTGGACTTAAGGAGCCAACATGTGAGTGTATGCTCCTCTCATGTGTTGAAATAAGGCTGTTTGAAACCATATCTTCTGTTTAACCCTCTGATCTCCAGTGATGGTTTATTTGTTTTTTGTGCCTACCTGTTTCAGCTTCAGTCAATTACTTTTGACCTTGTGTACAAAGGTAATTGCCCTCTTTGTCAAATCATGAATTAACAGT